GAGCTCTAAACCTGAGCCCGCGATATGGTCACGTGATACTGGCCGGCGGATACCTTGTTTTGACAGGTGGCAACTGAACTATTAGTATTATTATTATTACTATTATTGTTAAAAGGTTGTACTCTGAAAACCAAGGCTGCATACCTTAGTCGACCTATTAGCTGGATTATGGCCGCCAGGTTGCGCGACGTCGTCATTGTCGTCATAGGGCGCACGCGCCCGCGATTCATGCCGCTACTTTTAAATGGTCAAATTTACTACGTATAATCATGGGAAGTGACCATATGAAAGATCATTTATTTCAATTGAGATAAAGGATTGAGCAAAAATATCACCAAAAAAAAAATGGTTTGAAAAAGATTCGAATACGTGACCTTGCGATACCTGTGCAGGGTTCTAGCAACTAAGCTATCAATCTGTGTAACTAACCGTCGCTTCACTTTTAAGTCTATGGATGAATTTCTAGGGCATAACTATTGAAATAAATGAAAGATTACTGAGAGCATTCAAATAAAAATTGTTAACCACTTCATTTAAGTTGTCAGTTCAAATGTGTATTATGCTGTCCAAGGTGTTTCTCACTTTTAGTTTTTTGACCATACCAATTAACCTATCACTTGTTCTAATGCAATACCTGATGTATGCCAAAAGGTGTTGGTCACCAAATCTATCCACTCATTGTTTTCCGGGTCAGCCAACTGCTTGATAACAACTTCATACCCCATGAAATTAGAGGCACTGTGCAACAAGGCAACAGTAACGCCTCCTTGGGGATCTCCACTGAACTCCAGGTCAGGTGGACCGTCATGTGACAGTTCAATCACGTTGCTTACCAAGACCTCATTACTGCCAAGAGGTGGATAGAGGATCCTGGGATTCCATAACGAACAAGTAATCAGGAAGGATTTTGTTATGGCTCCTCGAAAAAATGTGACAGATGCAGCAGCTTCTTGAAGGTTCCAGGTCTCACCCTCGCCTAATACTTTGCCTCTGAAAGATCAGTGTTGTTTAAGTGTACAACTAAAATGCTCAAAATTTATTCAACATTATTTTATTACAGCTACGCGGCTAAGTTTAGTATATCGATTATACTGAATACACAAATGCTATTGATAAAGATTACAGTCTATCCATTTAGTTCAGCAGCTTTCACAATCTTGAGTACTCACTGGATTTGGCATTCTGCCTCACCGCATATTTTTCATTGTTTGGTCAGATCTTGGCAATGCTTAGTTTAACTGCTGTCTGATATCCTTGACTAGCCGATCGTTTAAAATCCAAGGGTTAAAAAAAACTGCCTTGATTAAAAGTAAAAAAAAAGGGGGGTGCTAAACACGATTGATTTCACCTTATTTAATAAAGAATTAAAAATATGTCGGGTGAAGCATCTTTGCTCTGAAGGCGATCAAGCATGGAAATTAATCCCACACTGCTTTCTATCTGGTGTTGGCGGAACACTTCTTTTTCAATGCAATTACGACGTGAAATATTTGAACTTAAGTGCAAAACTATCCATTTTCTACAAGAACATAATTTCGCACTGGCAAGAATTAAATAATATTGTAGACACTGTACCTACAACAAAGAAAGACGTACTCGACCAAATCGTTTGGAATAAGAAGGTATCAGAGGTACACAAAAATCACTAAATTCCGCCATTTTGCCTTTTCAAAACGCACTATGACGCGCTGTTGCCATAATCATCTACTGACAAACCTGGTGATAGGCATAAAAAAGGTAGGAGCAAAAGAATGGCCAATTCCCTCTATGAGATATCCAGTCCAGGATGATGAATACAACTACCATGATTCCCTGCAGGCACGTCTCATAGAGGGAACTGGCAAATCGGAAAATAAGATAACGAATCATCACCTGCAGACATCAAATTATAGTTTGGGTCAAAAGAGCATATTTTGGTCTATACTCCTATGCAGCATCAGTATACCTTCGGTTTGTAATACTCACTCGTGTATTTTTATCTTATCTGGTTCTTGATCATCCGGATTCTCTAGCTCCTCCAGCTCCTGCTCGTCAACTGCAAGTTGTGATAACTGCTCAGTGAGGTCTTGGCTGCCATTACTACCATCATCGTCATCATCGTCATCATCGTCTTGATCATCGACCTCTTTATCAGAGTCATCATCGTCATTGCTTGACAGCTTTGCAGCTAATTTAACGAAAGAAACTGAAATTCAGCTATGTACGCTATTTAGTGATATTTTGTCAATAAGAAAACACTTCGCCAATATACACAGAAAAATGACTAACAACATATTACTATTAATTCATGAGGACAAAACCAAGGAAGGTTTAAAGAACAGTTTCATATCAAATTTTCTCCAAGCAACAAGATCTTTTACTAGAATTACATAAGTTAAACTGTAGATAATTTATCAAAACCCTCGAATATGAATGTCAATGTACATGGCACCTACATCCATTTTCTTTCTGTAAAAGCAATTTTATGAAATTCCACTGGATTATAGAAAACAGCACCGATAGCGTGCATGATTGCGCCTCGCTAGAACCGTGACTTAACGTGAACATAAGAGGATCTGTTTCGAAGAAAGATTTCTGCCATGACTCTGCATAAGTCCATACAAATTCTCATATTGGTTGATCCAAAAAATTAGAAAAAAATAACACTCTTCATTGACTTTTTTAAAGCTACGACATCATCTTGTGATTTTCAGAGTCCAATCTTAGGTTTCTATGGTTGGACGGGAGCGGGGGTGGGGGGGGGTTTGGGGAGAGGTGAGGGATAAGTTTGTTGACCACAATGATTCAACATTTGCTGAATATCGGCACTAACGATATTTTTCTCTCAATTGCAACTTGGCAAGTGCTCAAAACCTTCTTCAAAGTTATTTTTATTGTTTTTCTACGCGAATGAGGTCGAATTAAGCGATTCCAAACATGATGCCTAGCAATTTTCCACCGCTACAGATAGTTTAGAAAATATTTAGTGATATTAAATACCTGCTGATCCAAATGAGAAAAGAGATTTAACGAATCCCACAACTGTACGGCTCCGTTTGTTTTCCTGTTATAAGTTTGAAAAAAAAAGCGTAGTTTAAAAAAATAAATAGCTCTCATATGCCAAGTGTCTGTTTGAGTCTTGTAAGGCCTGCAAATCAAAAGTGACTATATATGAATCGAGTCATCGATTAGGTGCACTTAGAACATCACGACAGCGTAAGGATCTTTATATTGGTTTCAAACAGAGAAGAAGAGAAATCCCAACTTCTGAGAGAGAGACCCTTAAGCTTTTGACAGCCAAGACCGAAGCTTGAGTTAATGATCTGCAGTGTGCCAATATAAAGCAGCTCCGGCTAGTGTTTAGACCAGGACTAAACCTCGGCAAGTTTATTCCTAGTCAACAACGCGTTATACAGAACGTTTATGACGCAAAGGCTAATTACAGTATTCTCCGCTAAGAATTTAAGAAACGATTAATTATTTGGCGTGTATTGAGGAGTTATGATACATTCGGGAAGTTTGGGAAACACAAACGATGAGTAAGAGTTGCCCGAGGCGCGGGCAAGAGCAATTCCAGCTTCTTTGGCGTTCTCTGAAACTTCCGAAGTGCTCATAAAGCGTAATGATGCACCACTAAACGAGGCTAGAAATATGAATCAATCCATTGCCAACGGTTTCTCGAGTGTGAAAAAAAAGTTATCTGGCGAAGCAAAGCTGCAGCTAGTTTGGTCTCGTCCCAAACGGCCATTCTTCGATTACGCTGCACGCTTACGTGTACTAGAGTTTATACCTTCAACAAGATCCCATACTTCTGGGCCTTCTTCTTGTCCTTAAGTGATGACGCGTAGTTTTCAAGCTTGGTGAGAATGTCTATTCTGTCTTGCTTTTCCATCTTTTCCTTGTTCTTTTTCCACAGCTTTTCGTAAAATCTGAATGCCTCGGCTTCGTAACGTTTGAGCAGATCCTTCTCACGGAGAATGTTACACCAGCGCAAAAGGCCTTGAAGAATCTCTTCTCTGTGACCATCCGGTAGCTTTTTGGTGTCTGGAGAATTCCATGCCCCTTCGTAAAACCAAAGAGCTTCTCTTTGGTATTTCTTCTGTGTCTGCCTGTCAGCCAAGCCACCAAGCCGTTTGTTAATCGAATCAATGACTGTCCTGTTGGCCAAAGAAAATTCAAATCCTTCGAATTCTCTTTCTTCGTTCCAGTAACGTTGATAAAACTCAAACGTTTCCTTTTGAAATTCTTCCTTTCTCAACCCTTTAAGCAACGTTTCGTAAGCTTCGATGAGTCTGACCATAACTTCACTGTGGTTTCCTTGTCCCAGAGATTTTTCAATCTCCCAAGCTTGTTCGTAGTAATCTTCCGCTTCATCATAGTCCTGTAAACTTCGACAAAGTTCTGCCATTTGGAAAGCACTTCGTGCAGTGTCAGGATGGTTTCCTAGAATGTCTTTCCTGATCTCGTACGCGTTCTTTGCAGGTTGGCAGGCTTCTTCAAACTCTCTTAACCACGCGTACGTGTTTGCAATGTTTCTGTTAAATATCGCTGTGTTTAACATTCCTGGGATTTTAAGTTCCTTAGCGAGCTCTAACGCCTCGTGATAGCATTCGATGGCCTTGCGAAATTGCTTGCTTGCTTCGTCGTCCTGTCGCTCTTTTTGATAGATGTGACCTTTTCCTTCATAGACTGTACCGATCTGACCTTTGAAAACTGGCACGTCAAAGTGATTCATTGAACCAGAGAGCTCCTTCCTCATTTCATAAGCTCTGGTATAATACTTTATCGCCTCTTCTGGTTGGTCCAGCCTGTTGTGGCAATTGCCGATGGCGTTCAGGCATCTTGTAATGCTGGTGTGACTGGTGTGTAGGATATCTTCCATTATCTTCAGAGACCGATGCAAGATTTTTAGCGCTTTTGCCATATTTCCTGCTCTGTAGTATACTTCACCCTGGACAAAGAGGTAAGAGCTCCGAGTAAGCTTGAAGAATTCGCTGCGTTTGGTTTCTTTCTGTACTGTTTTCAGTGACTCATTCGCCATCTTTAAGACTTCCGAAGCTCTTTGCCATCCTTCCAGCTTTAGAACCTGCAAAGCCTCTCGGCATTTTAATTCTGCTCGAAGTAAGGAGCCTAACAAAATAAAAGAAAATAAATAAATAGATAGATAAACAACAACTTATTAACTACATACTAAAGGAAAAATTCCCACGACCTATTGTTTATTCGTTTGTAGCCAATTCCAATTGGTGTACCAAGAACTCTGGTATAGCCCGCGCAATCAGCAGTGTCCATCTAAACATCTTTTAAAACGTATGTTATCCAAGGTAACATTTATCTCTCCACGATGAAACTAGGGTAAACTACATTTCAAGTCTCACTCTCCTTTACAAAGTTCTCTTCAATACCCTGAGTAGGAATTTATTCTGACGTCAATTTCGCAGCAGTCAGGTCCAGGCAAAAGAAAAATATCGACCAATCGGGAGCAATCAATCACTCAAACGATCGATCAATCAATGAAATGTCGAGCAACAGTATTTTCCTTAATTTTTTGCATGTCTTTGGTTTGGCAAATCTCTTTTGATCATAGCTCAATCAGTCAATGAAGGGAAACAAAAGCAAACCAACAAGAAACTGAGCTAGCACTCAATTTCTCCCTGCATCCGTTGAAGGTATTGAATTTTCATGGGCTTATTGTAGCTTCTTTAACATGCCACTGTGTTTTTTGTTTATTTACCATAGTCAAATATACAACTAGCCATTAAGAAAAGTAGCAGGGCCATTCGATTAATCAATCATTTTCACAAAACAGAAATGTCACGGTCACTTGCTTATTCATCTGTAACACAGGATTGGTCTGGAAAAGCCCACGCATTCAAGCTCATAGATGCTCAAAGGTGTTTTTGGTTCTTAACAATAGACTATATGTAGCTAAATCCTCTCTCGCGTTGATATAGTTTTTTAAATTTACTATAAATGATTTCTAAAACCAATTTCATGCTGAGTAGTATGGCCCAGGAAAGAAAGACAATCAATTCATAATAGAAAGTTTATTACGATAAATCAATAAAGAAATCATAGTTAGTAGAGGGGACCCCTCTACCAACTATGAACAAATTAATCAATAAAACATTTACAAAGCAGTACAAGACAAACAAACAACCCAATTCCTTCGTGCATCCTTCAAACCAGAACTGTCTGTTTGACTCTATGTTGGTTTGTTTTCGTTTAATGTGAGATGATTCACGTTTCTATTCTTTCAGGTTGCAACAATTTCTGCTATGTTACAAGCCAGAAAAGAAACAGGGCTCCTAGATAAATCAATTAAACAGTAAAATTTTTCTCACCCTTCTTTCCGTCATCCTCCGCCTTTTCAGACCAAGAGTTGAAAATGCTTCTTCTCTGTTTTTCATCAAGCATGGCCTCAAAAAGATAACAAATCATAATACTTTCATGATGTTCTTCTGGAATAAGCAAGTGGTCTAACTTCAGTGAGATATTCAAGGCAAGCTCAAAGTTAGGTTTGTCAAGGTCAAACCTGTTGAAAGCATCGATGTAGTTTTCGTCCAAAATAGCTGAAATGTCTTTCATGTCAGACATGAAAAGTTTACAAAAACGGTCACTTGCTTTCTGGTAAACTTTGATGAAGACGTTACTGTTACCGATGCTTCGTAGAAACTTACGCATCAGTGGATGAATGTCGTAGGAAAGGACCTTCGCCTCTGGATCAACCGATACGACTTTGCTGTTTCGCAAACCCTCCAGCTGTATAACAGCCTCCGTAGGGTCCACACCGAGAGTGGTAGCAGCTGCTTCGGCGGAGAAAGAACGAGAGAATAACGACACAGAAACGGCACTCTCTTTTAACCTTTTACTCGGTAGGAAGAAAAACATTTTTCTCAAGCAGTTTTCTTGATCTTCGTCGATTCCTTCTTTCTTGTAGTCAAATATTTCTCTCTCCTGTGTAACCGGTGTAACCTTTTCTGCAGGTGGTAATCCCGTTTCTGAAGACTCGGTCACTATCTCTTGCTCTATGGTTTCAAGGAGCTTTTTATCATCTGCTATCTTCTGCCTTAAGATAGCGGCCATCCCGTTCAGGATGAGGGGATTCCCACGGCACATTTTCACCAACTTCTCCATTTGATCTTCTTCAAGGCTACGATTTCCAAGGGTTTGAAGGAGTGAGCTTGCGAAAGCGTTATCCAAAGCCTTCACCTCGTAATTATCGACATCGAGAGTGTCGCCGTGACTAAGTGTAGTTCTCGAAGTCAACAAAATTTTCGAATTTGATTTTCCTTCATCAGCCTTGGGACCAAGAAGTTTCCTGAGAAACGTCACAAAATTTGCGTTCAGGTCTGAGGCAGCCTCTCCATCTCCTCCCGCAAATTGATCAACATTGTCCAGAAGTAACAAGATGTCGCTTTTGCTGTCTCGCTTCAGTTGTTCCATTTGAGCAATGACTGGATTTGCTTTGTAGTCTAAGACCGTTTGCTCCGGTTCGGTTAATGCGTTCAGGACGTGGAAGTGAACGCTTGTCATCTCATTTATTCCTCTAAAGTCGACTTTGAATTTCCTCCCTGGCCATTTAGCGAACGTTTCTATGGCAAGCCTTGTCTTGCCTACGCCACTGGATCCATACAAATTAACAACACTCGAACTCCCTGTCGTTAGCTTTGTCATTACTTGGTTCAAGTCGTTGTCTCTTCCAGTCAATTTCTCCTTTGTCTTGGTCTCTCGCTGGCGGACTGTTTTGAAACCTTGAATCTTTTCTTGGATTGTCTCCTTCTTGGATGTTTTAGGAGTGACAAACCTCTCTAACAAAGTTAGATTGTCCTCGGACACGAGACCTTGATTAGCAAGTAAATGCAGACATGAGTACAAATCCCGTTCTTGTTGGTCCTCAAATTTGCCTTTAAAATTGCTTTTGATAGAAGATACAACTTGCTTAAGTTCTTCGGGGCCTAGTTCACTTGAAACGTCTTTTAGAAGTCTGTCAAGATTCGGAGAAATCTCTTCAGTCGCCGAAACTGTTTCGAGCGACGCCATCTTAACTAGAAATGTCGTGACGTGTGTCACGACGATGCAATAAATTTATGCGAAAGTACAATCGGATATCGTTTATGAAAATGATAACACGGTTTTCATATTTTCCACGCTTAGAATTAAGAAAAGGATAACTATTATATGTTACGCTGTGGATATATGACCGACAACTGGTCAAGGTTTCAAATAAACTACATGACTGGCAGTGAAATTTTTTATGAAATAAAACATCGTAAGAAGAACATTGTGACAGGCGACCCGCAAGCGCTACTCCTTACCGCTGCGCCACCGAAACCGGCTTGAAAGCTAACCGTTAACAGGCTACCGGAGCGCTATCCAGGCTAACTGGGGTGCTATTCAAGCTAACCGGAGTGCTGTTCAGTCTAACCGGGGTGCTAGTTAGCCCAAACTACAAAAAAAGTTGAGACTGTCGATCGTTTAGTCTATTTTAAACTCTTCGTTTAAGTCATTCACGAGCGAGCTTCCGATCGTAAGTTTGAAAATAACCAGCTTGCAGGCTAGAATTTGTAAGCTTTACTCTTTATACGATTTTATCCTTAAGTTTTGAGCCTGGGGTTTTGAGTCTCTTCTCCGAAATGATCCCCATATTTGATGTGATGACTGATGACCACAAAACCCAGTAAAAGACTGCGTATTGAGTTGGTTTCAGTTTGTTGTGGTTTGGTTTCCTTCCACTGCTTTCTAGGAAAAGCTTTAGTCCTTTTCGAATGTGGTTTGTAGCAACTTATACGGCGCTGGTTTCAATCCGGTTAAATTCTTAGCATTGTTTGCAAAGGAGCCACATCTGATTGACGAGTGGAATCGCTTGATCTGCATGTAATCTTGCACTTATGATGGCGTCACGCAATGTTACCAGCCAATCGAATGAAGCAAACAATCCCTATAAGAGGTACATTTTTTCCGCCGGATGTCGCTAAAAATTCAAAGAAACCACTAACATTGGCTAGGACGGCAACGTCCTTTGAAAAACAAAGATATATTTCTACGAATCTCGTGGAGATACCCAACAGATTCACTCAAGCTTTTCTGTCACTGTTAGAGCTATCCCAGTTAAAAGCTGATTATATTAATTAGACGGCATTCAACCCCGTCCCCAGGGTCCTCCCTCTACCTCCAGAAAGTACCTGGTTGTGGCTGGTCACGTGTCTGCTAGATTTTAGCAGATTCCAGAGATGTGATTGAAGGGAGGGGCAGGACGGTTAAAGTTTGTTTCCACTGAGCTCAGCCACTGAGCCCAGTAGGGAGTGGAATTTGTAACCCTCCCGTTGTGGATCAGCAAAACTCACAGCGACGGCATTGGCATATCCGCTATTCGCAATGTGTTCAATGTTCGGTTAAAAGGTTAGCTCTACATTAAGCTGAATTTTTCCTGTCGATAGTTAGACGGTCTTTGAAATTTGTGGAGGCTAAAAAATTGGCAAAGAACTTGGAAATGACGACCACAACAATAAATGGACCGCGCGGTGAATTTAATTTAATTTTTCATTCGGCCAAATCACAACGAAGATATTCACTCATTCGTTTAGAGTTGAATACGTCGTATGTTCGCCTACAAAGGTAGTTTTGAATTTGACTGAATTACCCCCATCGGCAGTTTGACGGTCATTCCATTTTCTTGCGGCGAAAAAAAATTTACGAAGAACTTGACATCAACAACGTCTGCGCGCTGAATAAGTTTTTCGATCGGTAAAATCACAACGGAGGCATTGATGCATTCGTGTAGAGTTTGATACGTCCAGTGTTTGGCCAAGAGACTAGCTTTGAATTTGATTGAATTCATCCAATCGAGAGTTTGACGGTCATTCGATTCTCTTGCAGTGAAAAGTTTTATGGGGACCTTGACAACAACGACATCGGCCGCGCGTTTCCAAAATATGATCCAACGGCGTTCGTTTTAAAACTACTTGTAGCGACTAGAACTTTCTTTGCTTTTGGATGTCACGTTTCTCCGTGATCCCTTGGAATTATGCAACCCACTCTGTAGTACTAATGCGTTCTTCATTATGCGTAGGTTTGTTTTTTATTTTCGCCAGTGCTTGTTAGTACTGAAAGTTCGATCTGCTAGTTTCTACCGCGTTTTCCTTAGCTGCTTTACTGTTGTGAGCCCTGAAGTACAAATTTTAGAATTCGAGTCGCCACAGTTTTGTAAGTTTATTTGCTCCTTTGTCAGTTTTTTTTTTTTTTTTTTTTTTGGTCGTTATATTTTGTACTTTAATATTTTGTCTCCTTTATTTTTTCAGTTGAATCACACAACCACGATCACTTTTTGTTTCTCTCGTGCTTATGCCCAGTATGATTAAACTTGTGCATTCAAACTGTGACTTCTGTAGCGCTTACTAGACCTACACTACTGTTTAGCGGTAAGTCCAATTTTCGGTCAAGAGACTAGCTTGTCATTTAGTTGAATGCATCACATCGATAATTTGACGATTATTTAATTCTTTTGCTGTGAAAAACTGGTTAAACTTTTCCTAGGCAGGCTGTTGACGGTTATTTAAAAACGCAGTGAAAAATAAGCAAGTTCCCGCTCAATCATAAGGAACTTTAAGCAACGACAACGCGGACGGCGACGGGAACGCCATAAGATCAGGGAAAAGCCAAAAGGTCCACTGCGCATGACTGGCGGGAAACAGATAGACGTTCTGCGTTCGGGCCCTAGACTACGAGTAGTCCCTCTTTCGCTTAGTCCGTCGTGCGTGACGCGAAAGAAAACCGCGTGAAAAAAATGGCCGCGC